CATGTTGGGGCGGGGGGGGGGGGGGGGGGGGGGGTCCCTTGGCCTGGTCAGCGATCGGGGCCATCTCGCCCTGTCCCAATTGGGGCTGATTGGGGCCCGCTGGGAGGGGGTTGGGGGAGGGACCGTGGGAGGTTGGCGGGCCGCTGAAGGTTGGCTGTGGGAGTGCACTGAGCACCAGGGGGCAGCTCCTGCATTGAGCGTCTGCCCCCTGGTGGTCAGTGCGTGTCATAGCTACTGGCCGGTCATCTGGTTGTCCAGTCATCCAGTCGTAATGGTCACTTAGGCTTTTAGATATATAGATATATAGATAATTTACTTATTATTAAATTTAGCTATTTTCTGTATTCAACACTTTCTAATAAATTTACAAAGTTGTGCAGCTGTCACCACAGTTTAGTTTTAGAACATTTTCTTCACCCCAGTAAGCTCTCTCATGCCCATTTACAGTTAATCCCCACTCCCACCCCAGCCTTAGGCAACCACGTATCTACTTTCTGTCTAAATCTAGTTGCCTTTTCTGGGTAGTTCATAGAAATGGAATTATACGATCTGAGGCCTTTTGTGTCTGGCTTCCTTCACTTTAATTTTCTTCTAGTTTTTTCTATGTTGTAGCATATATCAGAACTTTATTTCTTTTTATTGCTGAATTGTATTGCATGGTATGGAAATATAATGTTTTGTTTATCCATTCACCAGTAGATGGACATTTGTTTGTTTCCACTCTTGCTATTATGAATAATGATGCTGTGAGCATTCCTGTGCTCGTCTTTGTGTGGACATATGCTTAATGGCTTCTTAATTGGCCCTCTTGCTTCTGTTCTTGTCCCTGTTCAATCTGTTCTATACACTGTAGCTAGAGTGATCTTTTGAAAATGTCAGTCTGATTGTGTTATTACCCTGCTTAAATCCTTCAGTAGTTCCCAGTCTGCCTCGGGATCAAGTTCAAACTCCTTAACTTGAAGGGCTTACTAAGAGTATTCAAAACCTAATTCTCTTTCCATCTTCTCTCACTAAGCCCCCTGTCCAGCTTCCTGCTTCAGCCATTCTTTTATTCATTCATATTGGTCCATTCATTTATTTAACCATTTATTCAGTTAACCAGGCTTATTGAGGCTCTGGGGATAACATAGTAGACAGGATAGCCACATCCTTGCTTTCATGGAGCTTTCTTTCTAGTGTGAAAGGCAGGCTGTAAGCAAGAAAGCATCAGATAGTGGTAAGTGCCATAAAGAAAATGAAAAATGATGATATGATAGAACTGAGGGAGGATTACTCAAATCTTCTAACCTGAGTGTTCCTCAGAGCCTGTGCCCTATTGCCAACTGCCTATTTGTTATTCCTTCCTCTTGGAGTACTCTTATCCTACTCCTCTTCCTAACTCCTATTCAGCCTTCCCAGCCCCATGCCCAGCCACACTCCCAAAGCCTACCTAGATGCCCCACCCATTATGCTTTCTGAGTACTTCATCACAGACCATCTGTCTTGAGTAGCACGCTTCATATTATATTTAAACTAGAGACCTGGTGCACGAGATTTGTGCACTGGGGAGTGGGGGGTCCCTCAGCCCGGCCTGCACCCTCTTGCAGTCCAGGAGCCCTTGGGGGATGTCAGACTAACTGAGGGAGCAGGCCTAGGCTGGTAGTCGTACATCCTTAGGGCTGCGCGGAGGCGGGAGAGGCTCCTGCCACTGCTGCTGTGCTCACCACCCGTGAGCCTGGCTTCTGGCTGAGTGGCGCTCCCTCTGTGGGAGCGCACTGACCACCAGGGGGCAGCTCCTGCGTTGACCACTGGTCTGCCCCCTGGTGGTCAGTGTGCATCATAGTGACCGGTTGTTCCGCCATTTGGTCGATTTGCATATTAGCCTTTTATTATATAGGATGTCTAATGATTTCCTGTTTCTTCTTTACTTTAAGCAACTTGGTAATTGCTGAGTACCTAAAGTCTAGCTTAGTTCCTGGCACATAGTTGGTGCATAATAAGATCTGTTGAAGACTGATTGTGGTTAGTCTTGAACAGGAGGGAGGACCAGACCATTTCCTTTGGGACTGGAGGGAAGGAAGGAGCTAAGGCACATTGCATACATACATTAATTTGTAGGATTGGGGGAAGCAAGTAGAAGGAGTTCTGATGGCTTGCATTTTCTCAGAGGTTACCATTTAGTGCACAGTATAAAATGAGGAGAAGTTATTTATAATGAGCAATTAGCAGTGCATTAGAAGAAATAAAAAGTAGTGCTGTGGGGTGCATCTTGAAATCTTAAAACTGTTCTTACTTGCTTTTAGTTTTATAGCTATTAGATTTAGCCTAATTTCTTTAGGCCATTCATTATGTATTGATATGGATGATTAAATTACTTGGATGCTGTTGTACTGCTCTCTTTCTTGCTCTTTTATAATTGATTTTATTTTGATGTTGCTTTTTCAGCTTTCGGAAAATGTGATTGATCGTATGAAGGAAACATCTCCATCAGGCTCGAAGTCTCACCGATATTCTGGTGCTTATGGTGCCTCAGGTATTTCAGAACTTTAATATTAGAATTTTTTTGGTAGACAAATTAGAAGTCGTAAAAATTCATTTGATAATCAAGATCTTTGGCCCGTCTCTCTTTTGTTATTTGGATGTTCTGCTTTTTCTAGGGAATATTAGACATCAGGATCAGGGTTTCTTTTAAAGTGTTTTGAACTAAAAGTAGAAGAGTCTGATTTCAAACAGTGTTTTGGAAATTTTTTTTTCTCGTTCAGTTCCTGAACCCTCTGTTAGTCTTTGGAAGATTATTTCATTATCTTTTTTTTGTGTAAAGTGGATTACTTACAGAGATATTAGAGATTGAATAGTAAATATTTATTAAAAAAATCAATTTAGAAAGTACTGATTTACTGTTTCCAAATTGTGAACTATCTCCCATGGGTTTATTTTCTAATACATTTATTTTCTAAGTTTATAAACAGTCTATTTCTTTATAGTCAGTCTTAATTATTGATGAAAATATGGTGTTAAATGAAGTAAATAGGGAATTTTAAGCCTCATTTTATCTGTGGATCATGCAGGATAAGTGAGTATTTCTCTTTCCTTTCCTTTCCCCTACCTGATCCATCTGCTCATCCAGATAATATTTATTGAGCACCTGCTGTGTGTGGCACTGTTCTTGTTGCCCAATCCAATGAATGGACATGTGGTTTATTGATGAAGTGGCAATGAGAAAATAGTCAGGATGGTTAATTGTGGACTAAATGAGAATTTTCTGTGTTAATAAACACAGAATAAGGAGTTGTGTGGTAAATCTGGCTACAGACTGAAATACATTGAGAAAAGTGAGATGCTGTCCAAATGCCATTCACTTTTCATAGTCATAAGTCGTAACCATGAATTCAGCTTCTGATGTGTTTACAGCAGAAGGTACCAAGATAGAGAAGAAATAGTTCCTGCCCCTTTGAAACTTCTCGTTTAGTGGGAGCATTAGGAAGGCTTTACAGTTCATTAATGTTGGATAGAACGTGACCACTCCCTCCTGGCTAGAAACCTCTTCTTTGGCTTCTGGGCTGCACTCTGGTTTTTCTCTCCCCTCACTTGCATCCTTAGTCTAGCCTCCTTTGCTGATTTCCACTAAGTAATCTCACCTTTTGAATAATTATGTAGATGCTGTGACTCCCCAAATTCCACCCAGCTTTGACCTCTCCATGCAACTCAACTGAGACATCTACCCACTTGAAGTCTCCACTTGGAGATCTTCCACTTAATCTAGCCAAAGCTCCCCCCGCTCCTTTTTTTTTTTTTTCCTTTCCACAGTTCTCTCTGTCTTTCCCAGTGAATGGTACAGGTAGTCAAGCCCCAAACTGGGGTTCATCCTGTTTCCTCTGTTACTTCTGACATAGCTAGTCTTGTCAACGCATCTCCAGAACATGCTGAATAGTGCTTTCACACCTGTCTCCACTGTCGCAGCTCCAGTCCAGGTAACCAGCTTCTCTTTACCTGTCTTCTGCAGAGGCCTCTTCACTGGCCTCCTGCTTCCACTCTCGTGTCCTTAAGCTTTGCCTTGCACACAGGGGCCTTGGCAGTCTTTAAAAAAACAAAACTAGTTCATGTCTCATCCCAGTGGTGGAACGCAGTGGTACATAGAATATAATTTTAACTACTTTCTTTGGCTTCTGAGACACACCATGACTTGTCTTTTTCTGTTTTTCCAACATCACCTTGATATATGGATATTGTTAAAATTGGGATTTGATCTGAAATATAATTTGTTCTAGGTAGATTTTTTTTTACCTAATGTGTTAAGGAGATAGGATGATGATAATGAAATGCTGATAAATATTACTTAAATAGTGTTTATTACATGCCAGCTACTCTGCTAAGTCTGATATATCTTATCTCATTTAGTCCTTATAACCCTTTGAGGAAGGTGCTTGTTATTAACCCATTTACATAGAAGGAAACTGAAACTTGAAGTGATTGTCTTGCTCACAGACATACAGCTGGTAAGCAATGGAGGTGGTAGTTGAATTCAGTCTGTTAGACTCCAGAGCAAATGCTGTTAAATGTTAACCACTCTGTTTTATTGTAATTTCAATGACACCTTGCTCCCTTTGTAGAAGGGATGTGACAGAAACTAGTTGGAGGGGAAGAGCTGCCTTGTAGTGATGTTCTGCTTGAGTTCAGGAAAAAACCTTCTATCTATAAGTGATTGTTGATGCTCATAGCTTTTTTGTTGTTGTTGTATTGGTTTTTCATTCAATAGTGACTCAAGTGATTGTTGATGCTCATAGCTTTGTTGTTGTTGTTGTTGTATTGGTTTTTCATTCAATAGTGACTTGAAGGAGAGAAAGTGTTTTCCTTCTTGGTTGGCTTCTTAATCTGACCCTTGAGAGAGTGGATATGGGTGGGGAGGCTTTCTGTAAATGCTCATGGTGTGGCCTGCAGAGCATGGCCCTGGCATTGTGACCATCTGGCTGTACTGAGGAATCCACCCCTTCCCTTTGCTGGGTTTGACATGACTGATGGACTCTTTGGTTCATGACCAGCCTGGGCACTGAACACTCTTTGAGTACCACCTTGTATTCTGTTGGTCAGGCTAGAACTGCACTGTAAATGCTAGCCACTGGTCACCTGTGGCCTTAAGATTTAAATTAAAGTTAGTTAAAATGAAATAAAATAATTTTAGCTGCTCACTTGCACTGGTCACATTTCAGTGCTCAGTAAACCCGTGTGGCTAGTGGCTACCATATTGGGCAAGTGCAGGTACAGGACATTTTCATCGTCACAGGTAGCTCTATTGCACAGCTCTAGTCTAGACTGCATCAGTGCTCGGCAGTGTGACCTTCATCGGATGGTTTTAATGATGTGGTGACTGAGGTTATGGAGCTAGATGGCTTTGTGTGTTTGTGAATCTTGTTTTCTGCCTTTTCCACATCCCAGCTCCCCCAGGATTGTGGGTGAGTGGAAACACCAAGGAAGATTTCCCTCAGGTGTACTATCTTCACCTCAGTCTTTAGCACAGCTTCCTAACTGCATGTCACAAGTGTGCTGGAGGTATTGATTCCTTAGACTCAGAGTCGCTGGGGAACACCTGTGTACCCTCATGTGTCAGATAAATTCCATCTGCACCACGTGAAAAAGACTCAACAAAACTAATAGTGCAGGTTCTTTGACTACATTTCTCTCACCCTTTCCAACCCAGCCCTAGAAAAGAATGAAGATGTGCCGTGCTATTTTGATCTTGCCTTTAGGATAAGAATGCAATTAGACTACAATTGTGTAAATTAATAAAGAAAGATTTCTTCTTCCTCAGAATAAAAAAAATGTGTATAAAAGTAGAAAGTCTCAAAGTTTGTTCTCCTCAGTATTTGTCTCATTTGGGGGTCTTGTTAGTACTCAATAATAGATTTCTTAAGATGTATGATTTATATGTGTTACAGAATAATATTTTAAGTCTACAAAAATACATTGATAAAAATGTCACTAACCTTTTCTACATTTTTCAGTGTCAAGTGAATTATATAGTAAATGTGAATTGAAATTCTAATATTTATCAAAATGCTTTCTTCCTCACAAAACTGTAATTCATATCAGCCCTCGGCTATTCATATGTGTGAATATAGGGCAGTGGATTTGATGGAGGGAGATTCCTAGAATTTATTATATAGGAACCAACTTTTGTCATATATATAGTTTTAAGAATATAATTTATTCTGTAAGAAAGTGAGTTACTCTAAAGAGTTTACTGAAACTATTTTTTTGCCAAACCTTGAACCAGATCAATGACTCGTTGCAATAAGTATTTGCATGTTCAGGCAAAATAATATACTGTGTGACACATGGCAGATTGTAATGCCACTTTAATAAATGAATGTGCTCTAAAGAAATTAACTGTGTCCTTGCTGCCTCAGATTCTTTGCTGTGTAATGTGTTATCTCAACTATATTGGTTTGCTTTTATAATAGGGAATTTTTTTTTCTTTTGGCTGTCATAGGATATAGTTATAATCTTACCTTTTCATTAACATCTTGCCATCTTTTGATTTTACTTATTTATTTTTAATTTTTATTGAATTTATTGAGGTGACATTGGTTAATAAAATTATATAGGTTTTAGATGTACAATTCTATAATACATCATCGGTATATTATATTGTGTGTTCACCACCCCGAGTCAAGTCTCCTCCCTCTTCTACTTTCCCCCACCCCCTTTCCCTCTGGTAATCACCATACTGTTGTCTGTGTCTGTGAGTTTTTGTCTTTCTTTTTTTTCTTGGTCCCTTCTCCTTTTTCACCGAGCCCCACAACCCTCCTCCCCTGTGACAGCTATCAATCTGAATCTATGAGTCTGACAGCTGTCTGTCTGTTCTCCGTATTTATGAGTCTGTTTCTATTTTGTTTGTTAGTTTATTTTTTCATTAGATTCCACACATAAGTGAAATCATATGGTATTTGATTTCTTTGACTGACTTAATTTCACTTAGTGTAATACTCTCCAGGTCCATCCATGCTGTCACAAAAGGTAAGATATCCTTCTTTTTTTTATGCCAAGTGATATCCCATTGTGTAGATGCACCACAGCTTTATTATCCACTCATCTTCTGATGGACACTTGGGCTGCATCCAAATCTTGGCTATTTTAAATATCACTGCAATGAACATAGGGATGCATGTATTATTACAAGTCAGTGTTTCCAGGTTTCGAGGATGTATTTTCAGAAGTGGGCTCACTGGGTCATAGCAGCTCTTTAAGGTTCATTTAGACATAACACTGTAGGGAGAGGTCACCGTAAATAAGCTGTGCTTGTTCCTTTGACTTGAGTTACAAGAACTGAAGGAAGTGGTGGTATCAAGGTTTTTAACTTAATAATCTGAAAATTTGTTGATGCCAGTGTCTCAACTCTCCACTTATTTTTGTGTGCGTAATAGATAATTTGCCTGACAATTCCTAAAAGGAAGAAATATATACAATATCGATTTAAAGGTGTGATTTAAATAAAATTCTCTAGTTAGTAGTTTGTTCTGAAAAAGAAATCCATAA